CCCCCCCCCCCCCCCCCCTCTGTCCGCCACGTGCTCGGCGGATGCAACTCCCTCGCCCCGTGCGTGTACATGGTGGCGCAACTCCCTTACCTCCCACATCTGGTAGCTATGCGACCCCCTCCCCCGCGCTTGTCTGTATCGTTGGGGAAAACTTTCTACCTGTCGCTAGGAGAACTTTCTATCTCTGTTGCTTTTGAACTGGTCTATGGTTGTATGACGTCATCCTCCCTGAAATCTCTACACTAATATAAGCGTGTACTCATGTGAAAGCATGTAAAGTCTGAACGAAATATTTATTGCTACAAATGTGTCAGGCATACCCGTCTTCTCTGCTGTAGCCTGTACCGTAGCATGAGGCAGAACACTATGCAATGATGCATGAATATCCTGATGAATATATATATATTATATACTAATATAGTTATGAAGTATAATGTATAGATATATCTTGGAGTAATCATTCTGAGTCAGAATGAAAGGATATATAGAGAGAGCTACATAAATGTTCATCTAGAAATACATAGAGATGCATGAGTATTAACGTATACACGATCTATCTATGCATGAAACCATACACATCGTTGTATAAAGTTCATGAGGGGACGTGAAGGGAAATATGGGAAGATTTTGCACCTTGTCATTGTTGTTCCACATTTATTTTCAGGAAAATTGCCTGTCTTTAAAAGACGCGGGTTATTAAACACGAACAGTCTTTATAAATGCTCCATACGGCTTAGTAAAAGAAATCATTGCAAGAATAACGTGATATTCTAGACCAACCTGGTTTTATTTCAACTTTGCTTGAAAAGACGTTTTCCTTTACAAGGGTACTATTAGCAACTCTATTCCTTTTTCTGTAGGCCGGTGATGCGACAGGTGTCAATGTGCCATTACACATCATGTGAACGTACAAGACAGCATGCAGGATCACGATAAGCAAAGCTGAATATCTTGCTAAGAACTGGCTGCACTCGATTAAACGACGAGTTTCATATAATCTAAAATCAAACTCGAGATTTTCGACACTGGGAACTTCGTTCCCGACTGAATGCACTAAAATAACATTAAACTGCCAGAAAAAGCCAGCAACAGCAAGTGAGATTGTACAGAGCTGAATATCAAACTAGCTCAATCAATGACTTAGTTTAGACTGCTGTGGTCTCTGGTACGATGACGATTACCAATGGATGATCTTTCAATACATCTCCTCTTCCAACTACAACTGACGCTACAGACACAATCATGTAAAACACAAATGAGGTTCAGCGTTGGGAAGAGTTCGTGACCAATGCTAGAACTACGTGTGGGTCACAACTACACGACTGGTGCCTTTTTCACAACTGCATTCGCAAAATTCATGAGTAAAGTACATCACAGATGCGTGGAAGCCCTAAATACACTAGTCTAGATTCTTGGTAGTACAACTCTACTTTACCTATAAGTTATTTCACGGAAGAGATTACAAAGACAGCAATGACTACCGATGCTTTCACAGCAACTCAACAGATATCCATCCATCCAGACCTCATCCATACTTCAAACACATGATCTGGCAACACGTTAACCTTGTATTCTAGCATAGTTACACTTTCGTAAAATAAGTCCTTATTTCCCTTAAAACATTTATTGCTCAGAGATATAGCACGCAATTCTTCAAAAAGAAAATGTTTCAATTATTAGTGTAGACTGTCAATAATCCAAGCAAGCTGAAAAATCACATTTGCAACTTGCTTTGTTGACTTCCGGGAAGCCAAAATTCTGCATATTGATTGTTCTTTTTGCTGTTTTTTTTTGCCAGAGATTGAGACACAAAACTCTATATAACAACCTCACGCAGTGCTCTAACTAGTGTCAATTCTTTGGAATTAGAAAATCTTGTAGTGGGCCCGAAGTACAGGTCCGCGCCGTGAAAGCGATGAGATGTCTACTTCTGCTTCTCGAAGTATGCCTTGCTGCCGCGCGGGTCTGGCTTCATGGTGTCTGAACCAGGCTTCCAGCCTGCGGGACACACTGGAACACAGATGTGTGCACGTTAGCAGCGTCAGCAGTTCAAACACAACTACATCACTACTATTATTTCACTGCTTACTCGCTGGCACATTGATGGCCTGACGCCAAGTGAGTGTCCGTGCTTACGAGATGATTTGATTGACGATTAACCTTTTCTAGTAGACGGGACCTATATACATTGCGTACAAGAAACTCATAACTTGACCATGTTTCTGTCAATGATCTATAAGTATAATCTCCCGTCCTGGCTTTTAATTACAAAGTTCGAAATTCCACATGTATGTCCAAAGATGCGCCTTCTTTATTTACTATAAACGCGTGCTTATGAGCGTTTGTGTGCGATTAACTGAAAATGATACAAAATACAAGAATCGTAAGACAATTGTAAACTATAGACATCATTCAAACCAAGATGGCTAGAGGAACGAGGCGCCGGATTATAAGGGCGTGGGTATAACATAACATTCACTTTTAAACCAAAAGGATAATGGCCCCCCAGGGCTACATAGTTACATGCTTCATACAACAAAGGAATTCTTGATCTCGAGAATTTGCACGTTAACTCGATAGAAAGTTGCTTACTAACAGTGCAGGGTATCTTACAACCAAATTTGCCTAACGGATTAACCAATATAACGCTTATACTCTAGAATACTTACAGGACTATTTGTGGTCTGTTCTATTGCGGGAAAATTACATTTGGATTAGAACAAAGAAAAACATTTCTCCTTGTTCTATCCTCCATTTCGCATTACCTTAACTAATCAAACACGTGCTGCCACCTGACGGAAGGCAGGGGAACTAAACAAACAAAATGCTCGCAGGCATCAACATTCCGGCCCCTTAATTTTGGGTATCCCAGAATTACCAATAAATTTCACATTCAATAAAGTTATAGTCTTCCGAGTTAGTCCATAATTCTAGATGCACCGATGTTCTATGTTTCGTGACTAACGTCCATTTCCGACCTAGAATCAGATGCTTAGTCCGTTATCTGAGTACTCGAACAAAACCCACAAGTGGAGAGAGGTTACTAGCACGTCATCCACGGTTTTATCACACTAATGTTTCTCCTGCTCCGACACTTCCAGCAGGAGACAAAGCTTCGCAACCGGCCGATGCAACTCTGAATTCTTCGTACGTAGCTTAGCTGATCTGACGTGTCCCTTATCGTCCTTGAAGGTCTCGATCACGCGTGCTCTAGGCCAACAGTTTCGGGGTGAGTTGTCGTCGATTACTAGAACGATGTCACCAGGCTCGATATTTCGTCCGGAGTGCTGCCACTTACTGCGTTCCTGGAGGGTTGGCAGGTACTCTCGGTGCCATCGCCTCCAAAACACGTCGGTCAAATATTGCACTTGACGCCAGCATCGCTTGACGTAGCTGTCGTTCTTCTCAAACTTTCCCGGTGGTATAGCCTGCTGATAGTTGAGCGCTAACAGATGATTCGGCGTTAGTGGCTCGAGATCGTACGGATCATCTGTCATGGGCATAAGAAGACGATTGTTGACGATCGCCTCCACTTCGCAGAACATGGTATGCATTCCCTCGTCATCCATCTTCATGGGCTGCTCTTTTAAGAGAGAGAAGAGCACCTTTCTTACGGTCCTGATCTGTCTCTCCCAGACGCCGCCGAAGTGTGATGCGGCAGGCGGATTGAATTTCCACTGCAGATTTATCTGTCTATGAGCGAGGAAAGCCGAAATCTTCTCCTGGTCAAGCTCCTCCAATGCTTTCCGCAGCTCCCTCTCGGCTCCGACAAAGTTGGTGCCGTTGTCGCTTCTGATAACCTTCACTCCACCTCTCCTAGCGATGAACCTTCGTATTGCATTAATAGAAGAGTCAGTGTCTAGGCTGTGGGCGATCTCGATGTGGATGGCACGAATGGCTAGACAAGTGAATATCACTCCCCAGCGCTTGACCGTGCTACGTCCTCGCTTAATTTCGAAAGAACCGAAATAGTCTATTCCGGTTCTAGAGAAGGCTGGCTCGTCGGCTGTAAGACGGTCCTTCGGCAGGTCTGCCATTTTTTGTTGACATACCTTCGCTGAGTATGAACGGCAGATGACACATCTCTTGGCCAATTTTCTGACGGCGCTTGGGGCCCCAGGTATCCAGTATCTCTGACGTAGGCTCGCCAGGACACTATTTCTCCCCATGTGAGATAATCCATTCCTTGTTGAGGAATAAAGTTGTATTTTTACGATATTTTTTTCGAGAGACTGAGCTGAAGCCGTGAGTGAGAGTGACCACGGGCCCTTTGTCAGAATCATCGTAACGTCGTTAGGACTAATGTTAAGACTAACTTTATTTCTGGCGACGGGCCCCAGGTGTCCAAGTGCACGAGGCATCCCGTCACCATGTCGTGATGATCAGAATTATGCGCAATACTCCCATTATACTCGGGTGCGACGTGTAGGTAGATGTTAGAGTGCTCGCGAAATTAACGACACGCGACGAGTTTATCAAAATAACACGCATCTAGCACCTAGACGCGCTGTGTTTACTTATACGACAATACACGACATGATCTTAGCGAGAGTAGTTTGCTCGAGCTTTATATTCCCATAAGCTCTGACGGTGTTTGATAATTTAGGTTAATCAGGGATCCAGGTTCGCGACCATTATGATCAATATAAACTCACACTAGCATATTAACAGCTGCTACACTGGTCAGGCTACAATTACCTCGTGAATACAGCCCGTGATAGCATTTTACTCACTATTATACGGGACACACTTAGACACTTAGATAAGACACACTTAGTAAATAATAAAACGTCGAGTAAAATGTGAATGCCGTTTTAACTATATGCTTATATCACTATATAGTATCGAGGGGTACGTGAATAGAGAATTATCTATTCACGTACTATACTCCTGGGAGTATGGAATGGCCGCGAAGGGTCCGTATCTGCACGGTCAATACCATCCTGATTTCATATTGTCGGTTTCGCTGAACGAACCCCTTTCAGCATCAGCGTAGGAGACACCGTATAGAATACACCGTATAGAAGACACCGTATAGAAGACACCGTATAGAAGACCTTTAAGCAACAACAAACTGAACACTTTCTTAAAAGTTCTTCCTTTTTTAGAATTCTCGACGTAATTGACAACAACGCGCAAATAAGGAGAACTGGTTGAATAGAGTGCATCGAGTAAAAATACAATAGCCGCGTTCACACGTAGCAATAAATCCGGCATTTAGCGTTCACACGAGGCAAAATGCGCGGTCCAAGAAATACGGTATCTAAACAGATCCGGTATTTGATGTAAATACGCGGCTTCCCAGACCCCGAATAATTTGCCGTGCTTGAGAAATACCGGATTTCTTGGACCGCGCATTTCCTCGTGTGAACGCTAAATACCGGATTTCTGAAGCCTCGTATTTTATAGACTGGTCCGCGCTCGACAGTTCCAGTGTAACGCGAGTGGCACTGTTTACATTAATCATTTTTATACACTACACATGTTATGATGTACTTCTGTTAGTACAAGATAATAATACAATAAACTACAATACATCTAGGCACTATGGTTCATACAGGAGGACTGAAAATGTTTTCAAGGACTTTTCAAGGACATTTTATCAGAAATTCAAGGACATTCTATCTGACATTTTATCGGAATTCATACACAGAACAAAACATACAGGTCTGGATTAATTTAATATCATTCTTAATCACTGTCACCTCTAAAACTTACCTGGATCATATTAATAAACCCTTCTAAACACTGACACTTCTACAACATACCTTGATTTACTGACTGATTTTACTGACTTACTGTAATTTGTGATCATCATTTAACTGTGTATCGTGTCTATAGCTTTTTAAGAGCATTTAACGCAATTTTTATTGAGGATTGCACATTATTGATGGTACAAAATGTCTTTTTATTACAGGCAAGGATTGTTTCTAAAAATTCAAGGACATTTTAATGAAATTCAAGGACATTTTCATGAAATTCAAGGACTTTTCAAGCACAAAATCAACATTTACTAAATTCAAGTACTTTTCAAGGACTTCCCTCAAATTCAAGGACTTTTCAAGGACTGTGCGAACCATGCACTATTACTAGTATTAGTAGTTTTTACATCTGGTACACTCGCACATTGTAGTACTGAGTTCCCCATTTGCATATCAGGATCTCCCATGTCCAGTTGAAAATAAAATAATGAATATACATTCACGAATCACATACATAATGCATGTTTTACTTACAAATCAAGGGGGTAGAAGAAGAAGACCAAGTATTTCCCTTTGTAGTCTGACAAACTGATCTCTTTGAAATCTCCATTCACAAGAGCCGTTGCTTTCCAGCCTGGTGCTGGCTGCCCAATCTGATAGTTTCCAACCGACATGGTAGATAAAGATCTATAAAAAAAATGTCATATATAGTTACTACTTACTAACTGAATGGGTCATATGCAATTGCACCATCGAGTGTGCAAATAGTTACTAGCAGTATCTACAATTAGACAGTGTTCTATTTGGGATTAGAACCCTAAAATAGCTGACCAACCACAGAAATTTCACACTGTCATTGAAATTCCGTCTCCCCAGTAGTGAATCATACAGTTTATACACTTTTTAAACTGTAAGTGTTACATTAACTCTCATATCACACAGTTTACTTAGGCTGCTACTGCATCGTTCGTCTGACGCAGATCAAATCCGCTGTAATCCCGATGAACCGTTCATGGCAAAAACTAGTTATTCTACAGTGTGCGTATAACATTTATGTACTTGGTTTTACTGCACTTGAATTTTATTGTACCGACAGTTAATAGTGGTTGAGCAATCCTTATCTACAGGCTTTCCTTTGGCAGACGTGATCTGACGCTAACTAGACAAGGATATCATGAGTAAAGAGAACTGTTCTGCCACACCTCAGGGGCGTGTACAGGATTTGTACCGGGAGGGGGGGGGTCCAACCATAACCCAAACTTGGGAGGACGCGAAGGAGGCGTGTGGGG